AGCAGCCAGAGACCCTGGGTGAGCCCTTGGGCCAGACCTCCAGCCCAGCGCAGCCCCCCACGCCCCGCTGCCCGCGCCTCCCTCCACCTCCCCCGCCCCTTCCTCCTCCTAGGACAGGACCGGAGAAGCCACTGTGGCCACCGGGAGGGTCCCTGCCCCCCCAGCTCTCACTGGTCACCCCCAAGAATCCTCAAGGTGGCCGGGGTCCCCACCAGGCCTGGCGGGACCAGGATGCTGCCCCCACTCCTCCCCCCCGGCCTCACCCAACGCCCCCTCCCACCCTAACACCCAGTCTGACTGGAGACGGCCGGATGCCGGCTGACCCTGGGCCCGAGGCGGGCAGTGGCTGGCCAGGCCTCCTCATGTCTTGCCTGAAGGGCCCCCATGTCATCCTCAAGATGGAGGCCATGAAGATCGTACACCCTGAGAAGTTCCCTGAGCTGCAGGCGGCCGCCCCCTGCTTCCCACCTGCACCCCGGCCCACCCCAGCTCTGGCACCCAAGCGTGCCTGGCCCTCAGACACGGAGATCATCGTCAACCAGGCATGTGGGGGGGACATGCCTGCCTTGGAAGGGGCGCCTCGTACCCCGCCCCTGCCACGGAGGCCCCGCAAGGGCAGCGCGGAGCTGGGCTTCCCCCGCGTGGCGCCCGTGGACGAGGTCATCGTGAATCAGTACGTGATGCGGCCCAGCCCGGCGGCCTCGGGGGCCACTGCGATGGCGGCACCGGCTGCAGGTGAGCCCCTGGAGTGCCCCACCTGCGGGCACACGTACAACGTCACCCAGCGGCGGCCCCGCGTGCTGTCCTGCCTGCATTCCGTGTGTGAGCAGTGCTTGCAGATCCTCTACGAGTCCTGCCCCAAGTACAAGTTCATCTCCTGCCCCACCTGCCGCCGCGAGACTGTGCTCTTCACTGACTACGGCCTGGCCGCGCTGGCCGTCAACACGTCCATCCTGAGCCGCCTGCCACCCGAGGCGCTGACTGCCCCGTCTGGTGGCCAGTGGGGGGGTGAGCCCGAGGGCAGCTGCTACCAGACCTTCCGGCAGTACTGTGGGGCTGCGTGCACCTGCCATGTGCGGAACCCGCTGTCGGCCTGCTCCATCATGTAGTGCCCGCCCGCCCGTCCGCCCCTGCCCGCCGGTCCTCACGCACCGCTGCTTCAGGGACCTGGCCCTGCCCTGTTCCCTTTCGACCCCTCACTCATCACAGCTTCTGGCCCCCACCCATGTGGCATTGTCGCTGCAACCAACTTTGCCATTAAAACTCTGCCAAAGTTTGCACCTCGTCGCTGGCCTGAAGCCTGCTCCTGTGGCCTGCGCCCAGGCCTGGGCCAGGGTGGGTGCCAAGGACTGCAGCCCGGACAGAGCTGCCAGAGGGAGGCCCAGCACTGCTAGGATCAGTCTGCTTGGCTCTCTGGCCAGGCTGGGCCGGGCCTGGCTGGGCCTGGCTGTGCACGCATGTGTGTGTCTACATGCACGTTCGTATGAGCGCCCCACACATCTGTGCAGAGCCAGCTGCCTGCATGCATCGGGCAGGACTGTGGACAGGTGTACAGGATGGGCCCAGCTGGGCAAAGGGAAGATGTTTCTTGTGCATGGGCCACCGGACGTGGTGGGGGACAGCTCAGTACCTCTGGCTCTTGGCATCCACCTGACCCTCTGGAGTGTGGGAATGACCTTTGGGCTGGGACAAAGGCTGGCCAAGATCACAGCAGGGTACAAGGACCTGGGAGCCTCCTGTCAGGCACTCAGAGGACCTGGCTTGGAGAGGGAACCTTTGCAGGGGTGGGGCTGGGGAGAAAGGGTCAAGGTGAGGACAACAGTGGGGAGTGGAAGGTACAGTAGCTGCTGCTGTTTATTGAGCGCCATTTCCCGGACCAGGTACAGTGCTCAGCCTGCCACCACTAAGCCCTGAGGTGGTGCTGTGACCGTCCTTCAGATAAAGGCCCCAGGCTCAGTGAGCAGAGGTCGCAGGCAGTCAGGCGCCTCATCTCAGTACTCCAGCTCCAAGGTCTGGCTGGGCCTTGAACCCTGCAGCTCGGGGCCATGTGCCGGACCCCCAGGCGCTTGGGCCATTTGAGGGCTGGGCTTGCACAGCAAAGGCCCCTCCCCTCGGCTGCCCTAGCCTTCAGGGAACTCACGCTGGCCCTTACCTGGGGCACGGGGCGGCCCCCACCCTCGGTCCCGCTCGGCCCCGCCATCTCCTAGGAGTCTCCCTTTGCAGACAGTCTAGGAAGCGGCGGGGGAGGCAGCTCAGGGTCAGTATGGTGCCTGTCCACTGAGAAGTGCTCACGGCCTGGTCACAGACCCTGTCCAGCACCGTCCTTGGGCACCAGTGGTTACTGTCCGGGCAGCAGGCCGGTTTCAAGTCTCTGGATGGGTCAAGGGCTGAACACAGGCCCCTGGGTGGCCCTGGGCCCCCGTCTCGGGTCTTGATTAAATGCCAGCGCCTGGTCAACCTTGGGCTTTTCAGCCTGGTCATTGGGACTCAGGGCCAGGTGTTTCTCAGGGCAAGACCCGTGGCACCAAGGCTCCAGGACACGGCCGTTCTGGGCCTCCAGGCCCGGTGGTGCCAAGTGGCAGATGTGACGGGTCCTGCTCAGTGGCCCGAGCGGTCCAGCAGCATGAAGAGCAGCCCCAGCAGCACGAGCGGTGTGAAGGTGAGCAGCAGCCCCAGGAGCTCGAGGCCCAGCAGGCCCAGCAGCCCCAGGCGGCGGGCACAGGGTCCCCGTTCCCGTAGGGCCCAGAGCCGGGTGCCCAGGCAGGGCGGGCAGGGCAGGAAGGGCAGGCAGCCTCGGCCGCCCACGGGCCCCGCCAGGAAGCGCAGCTGGTAGTGGTGCTCCAGGGAGGCCCAGGGCCCGGGGCCACGGCGAGGCGGTGTGGGAGGTGTGGGGGGCGGGGGGCGCTGGGGCCCATCGGCCAGCAGCAGCTCCTCCTGCAGCCGGCAGATCTCCCACTCAAGCATGGGCGTCTTCTGGCGACACAGTGGGCAGCGCACACGGCCCAGGTCAGCACTGGGGGCCGTGTCCAGCAGGCGGTGCAGGCAGCCGGAGCACAGGCCGTGGCCACAGTTCAGCTGGGCCAGGCGGTGCTCACCGGGCCCATAGGGCTCTGTGCAGATGGGACACTCCTCTTCCCGCTGGCCTCCCTGCTCCTCATCCTCATTCTCCCCTGTGGGCCTAGCACAGGGTGGGGCTGTGGCTGTGGCCCCGAGCAGGGGTTCACTGTCCAGGGTCCCAGCACCCTCTGGGCTCCCGAGGGCCTGGCTGTCTAGCCCTTCATCTGCCAGCGCTTGGCGCAGTGGGTCCAGGCGCTCAGGGCCCAGGGAGGCAGAAGGCGGACTGGGCAGCCCAGAGCTGAGGTCAGCGGGGCCATGAGTAGGGGCTCTAGGACAGGAGTCAGGATGAGTGGGCCGGGACTCCAGGGTGGTGATGGGGGTGGGCGGGGCTGTGAAGCTCAGTGGCCCCTGGGGCCGTGGCAAGTCTGGTACTGACCTGGCAGCAGCCACTGCCTCCTCGGGGCTCCTCGCACCCACTGAAAGTAAACTTCTCCTGGGCCCCGGCACCTGTGCCAGCTCGGCGCCGCTCCTGGGCCCACAGGAGCAGTCCCCACCAGGTCCAGCCAAACCCGGATGCAGCCACCACCGCCGCTGCCGCCGCCGCCGCCCGGGTGTCAGCGCCTGACCTAGACAGACGGGCTCCAAGCTGAGGCAGTATGGGTAGGCAGCCAGCCCCGCTGTCCCAACAAGAATTCCCCTCCCAGGGGGCGGAGGCCTGCCCCTCCCTCCCCGTCCTGGCCACGCCCCTCCTGGCCACTCCCCCTCCTTCCTGGGCCCTAGGCCGCTGCTCCCTGGGCTGGGGAAGGGTTGGCCAACACCAGCCAGGCTGGGTGACTCCCATGTCCTTCCTTTCCGGGGTCCTCTCCAGATGGTCCCCCATGCTTGGCCATCGAAGCCAGGGTAGAACTTGTACAAGGTGGGCAAGCAGCCGGCACCCACCATGTGAGAATCAGACACCGAAGTGTTGCATCAAAGGTGGCTGAGCACTGGCTCGCGAGCCCCCAGCAGGGGCGGGCTGTCCCCATCCCTAGGAGCTGTGGGCCCACCCACTATGTGAGGCAGGGCAACGGCACAAGAGCAGGTCAGAAGCAGCCACCCTGAGCCATCATTTATTGCTGAGGCTTTCGGGAACTGGGCGGGAGCAGCGTGTGCTGGCTGGGGGCTGCCGCCAGTCGCTTAGGGCCTCACGGCCTTAAAGCCTGAGCCCTGTGGGGCCCCAGATGGCACCAGGCACTTGATGGCTGACGTGGCACCGAGACGTGGCAGATGTGTCGCCCAGGGCAGAGGAGGGGACACTTGGCCCTCCAGACTTCTGCTGCCTTCACTCCTGACCCTGCACCTTGGACTCCTGTGCCACCTAGAAGCCAGTGTCTGGGAAAGCCTGGGTGTCCAGCAGGCTGCCGGGGCCTTCCTGGGTCGCTGTCACTGTGCAGCCCGGGGCGCCGCCCTGTCTAGGACCCAGGTCTGGGCCAGTAGGGAACAGGTAGCTGGAATCTGGGCAGGTGTGTGATGGGGGCTGGGCATGGGGCCCTGGGTCGACTGGAGTGTGGCTGTGCAGGGGAGTTGGCCATCCTCCCACCTGGGTCAGACAGGGCAGGAATGGCGACAGCCCCCGGCCACAGGGTAGCAGCCAGAGTGGCCGCAGCCAGCAGGACAGCTCTTCAGGCCCACGTCTCGGTCTGATAGCGCAGCGTGCGCTGGAGCCTGGCGAGGTAGGCGGCCGCCTCAGGGCCGGAGAGCCCGCCCTCCTCCCGGAAGATGGATGTCAGGGCCTCTGACACATCTGCCGGCATGTACTTGGCATTGCTGGACAAACATGACAGAGGAGGCTCAGTGAGGCCAGGACCCCCGGAAGGCAGGCTTCCGCCCCGCCCCGCGGTCCAGGCTCACCCTGCCAGGTAGAAGTAGGCGCCCCGGTGGTCCAGTAGCTCCCACACCAGAGGCCCGAGCTCCCGGAGCCGGTGCTGCACGTACACCTTCCGCTCCTGCGGGGCGGGGGTGCGGGGTGAGTCTGCGCCCGGCCCCCCTCCCGGTCTTGGTCTTCCGTGCACACCCACCTGATCGCGGGAGAAGGCTGTGACGAGACTCAGGCAGCCCCTCTCCTCCAGCTCCTTCCACTCGGCCTCCCAGTAGAAGTCCTGGTCTCGCTGGCGGCAGCCGAAGAACAGAAAGTTCTCTGGGGAGGCACAGGGTGGACCGGGGCCTGGACTCGCCTGCAAGGCACAGGCTGGCCGGCCCCGGCCCCACCCTGGACCCTGCTTGCTCACCAGTCCGACCCTGGGCCACTCGCTCCTGCACAGCTGCTCGGAAGGGGGCCACGCCAGTGCCAGGTCCCACCATTATTACAGGTGTGTCTGGTGCCTGTGGGAAGGTCAGGCCACCAGGCCGCACCCACAAGGGCACCTGGACGGGTCCTGTTGCAGGAGAGAGGTGGCATGAAGAGTCCTGGAAGACCAGGATCTTAGCCCAAGACTGGCCGTAGCATACATAGAAGATCGAAGGGCCTCGGTCCACCCCCCACCCCCGCTCCAGAGTAGCGGTCACCTTGCTCAGGGTCCAGGGACGCCAGCCAGGAGGAGCAGAGGCCGCGGCGTGGCTCCTTGAGGCGCGTCTGGTACTGTACCACAGCCATGAGGATCTGCAGCCTCGAGGGGCGAGCCTGGGGAGGGAAAGGTGGGTTGCCCTGTCCCACCTGGCCTCCTGCCTTGCCAACAGCCCACAGGCCCCGCCCACTCCACCGGGGGCAGTCCCAGGTGTAGGTGTGCCCCTGTGGCCCGGCCCCAGCAGACCCTCACCAGCAGGGAGGAGGCGATGGAAAAGGCCCGGGGTCGGATCGGGGGGATGAGGTCCAGCAGGTAGTCTGGGGGGATGGCTGCCGCCGTGTGCGGGAAGTCACACAGCACCTGCAGCGGGACAGCCTCAGGAAGGCTGCGGCCAGCACAGCCACAGGTGGCTCTGCGCGGAGCCCCGGCCCTGTCCGCCACCCAGCCCCCGGCCCGTGCACCTCCAGGGCAGTCCTGCGCGGCCGGCTGCAGTACTGGCTCAGCTCCTCCTGGCCCGCGGGGGAGCTCAGCTCCAGCAGCTTGTCCCGCTCCAGCTCGTGAGGGGACAGACAGGCCAGGAGCTCGAAGAAGGAGCGTCGAGGCACACTGGCGATGTCCAGGTACTGGGACACGAGGTGCCGCACAGAGCAGGGCTGGGGTAGCCGCTCGGGGCAGGACACATCTGCAGGGAGTGGGGGATGTGGGAGGGCCAAGCAGCCAGAGGACCCGGAGGTAAGGGCAACAGCGGGGGGTCCCACAGCTTACCTGGCTCTCGAGGCTGCAGCATGAAGCACTGGTCCGGGTCAAGGCCCAGCGCCTGGCAGAACTGCTGGACGTGGCTGGCTGCATTCTGGGGCAGGATTAGCACCACATCGCCAGCCGCAAAGCTGTGTGGGAAAGCCATGGAGGGTTTGGGAGGGACATGGGGGCTGGGTTGGCTGCAGTGGAAGGGAGCAAGTGTCTGAGATGGGCGTGTTCTTGGACGGAGAGGTCTCCCTGCCCCTGGCTGCTGTCTGTGCTCCGCCCTGCCAAGTGCTGCTCCTGCTTTGTGAGAGGACCTCTGAAGCTCAGACTGTGGCCGTGCCCTGTGCCCTCTACAGGTCCCCAGGATGCACCCCGCCACCTGCTGTGTCTCAGGCCCTCACTTGATCCCAGAGCCTGTGATGTCGAACTCGATCAGACGGACGTCCTGGAAGTGTGAGGGCCCGGTGACCCTCCGGTTGGTGACCATGCGTGCCAGGAAGGGCTGCAGCTCTGAAGGGGGGCTCTGAGGCTCTGTCCTGGCCCCACGCTGCTCCCCGGAGCACATCTCGGGGGCCTCCTGGAAGAACTGCAGGGCGAACTTGGAAGGCAAACTGTGGAGAGGGCGCTCCTGTCAGGCCATCCGTGGGCCAGGAGGCCAAGGGGCCGCCCTGCCACACCCGGCGCTGGACCGAGGCGCACACTCACGGGACTCCGGGGGGGATCACGTCGAGGCCGATGGGCATGGGGTGCAGTCCCAGCACCTTCTCCCACAGGGTGTGCAGCCAGGGGTCAATGGCGGCATCAGGCCTGGAGAGAGGGCATGCGGGCTGGTCTGGGGACACTGCTCAAGGCTGGGCCCCACGGGAGGGCGTGCCCTCCACTCACCCCAGCTCATGCTGGTCGTCGCCCAGGCACACGGGCAGCAGGGCGGTGCCCCCGAGCTGCAGCAGCCGTCGGTACAGCTTCTTGGCCACAAAGTTGAACCTGAGAGCGAGCGAGAGGCTGGGGCCCGGGGTGCGGGCTCGGGGGTGTGACAGATGGTCCTCCCAGGACACGAGCAGCGCCGGTGGCTCCCACTGCCCCCACCCCTGGGGGCTTCGTACAGAACAGAACCCATGAACAAGGGCCACCCTGTCACCATTTTCTGTCCTCTTCTCCAAAAGAAACATGGGCTTCCTCCCACCGCATCCGGCCTTGGAGGTGCGGGAACCCTGCGAGCCCCGCTCAGCCTGTGCTGGATAATTGGGGTTCCAGTGTCTCGGGACTTTAATGCCACAGGTAGCCTGAACACAAACCCCTCGGTCCTCCCCTGGGAACCATCCAGGCAACACTGACCTTGCTCAGGACACAGACACGTTGTCAAAACGTTGAAGAAAAAGCAGGAGCAGTTGCACTGTTGTGCCAGGGGATGGTGGCCTCGGGGGTGGTGGCCTTGGGGGTGGCAGCCTCGGGGGTGGCTCCCCGGGGCTGCGGGGGTCTTTCGTACCCACTGTGAGCTTGATAAGCCCAGACAGCTCACGAAATGCATTTTTATGACAGTGGAGAAAGGGCCGGTTGGGCCCACGTTGCTGTCATGCGTAGCACATAAGCACACGATGCTGGCCGGCCGCAGACCTCACCTCCTGGCCCCACTCTGCTGCTCTGCCCACCCCTGGGAGTCTCAGGCCTCGGACACAGGGCCAGGGCCATGGCCTTAAGCCTGTGGGAGCCCTGGGAGCTGGGTCGCCTGTCCCTCCACCAGGACACCTTGCACTCAACCCTGAAGACAGTCCTCACTGGCCATCGGCCTGCCTGTCCCTACTCACTTGGCATAAGAGGAGTCCCCCAGGCCCAGGACGGCGAAGTCCATCTGACAGAGAGAGGTCGACGGCAGGTTCTTCCGGAATATGAACCTCCAGAAGTTCTGCATGCAGAATAAGCCGAGTTAAGGGCGCTGCTCGGGCGCCAGGACCCCGGGTGGGCCCGGGAGGGCTGTGTTATTGAAACAAGACCATTTTTTAATTCCGTCACAATGGCAAGAAAACCCTGAAAAAGAAAGGTGCCCCAGGGCCACCACCATGGTGTCACTAGAGGGCTGTGGGCCAGGGCACACTACACTGGGGGTGGGGGAGGCAGGCCAGTGGGGTTGGAGCCCCTTCGCCGGGAAGGGTCCAGCTGCCGCTGCCCTCGGCTCCTCCCAGGCCAAAGGAAGTGCTGGCTCCTACGCAGGTCCCCCCGGGAGGGCTCCTCTTCCCTCGAGTCCCAGGTCCCCGGGACCCCTCAGTTCTCAGCCCCCTGCCGCCGGCTTGGGCTCCACAGCCACATCAACAGCTCTGGCCTATTCTGTCAGACCCAGCAGATCCTGTGTTCTGGTCTCACTTGGCAGAATTCTCTCTCCCCTGGGCCCCGAGCCACCATCAGGTTGCTGTGTGCTGGCTGAGGAACCACAGGCCTCCAGATGTGCTTCTAGAACACAGCTCCGCATTACCTTTGGCCCCACCCCACCTCCCTTCTGCTTCATGTCTCATCCGACAGTGAGGACCCAGGCGCTGCCCAGGCACAGTTCTGCCCGCTGGCCCGGACCGCCCCCGGCCTCCTCAAGGACTTCACTGCATTGGCCGCCACCGGGGACCGTGCGGCTCTGCTTCTCAAACAGTTTTTCCTGAAGCCTCTCGGCCACTGCCTCCTGGGCGCATCCGGGGAAAGGCCAGGCAAAGATCAAGCTCTCACGATGGCGTGTCTGAGCACGCCTCCACTGTCCCCTCACACTGACTGGGGAACTTGTGGGGCACTTAGATTGAAACTGCCTTAAGAATTCGAGTTGGTCCAGCTGGACGGTGTCTGCTGAGCCACTGTCCCTGTGTGCCCTGCTCTGCCCTCGACAGATGAAACCCTGCTGGGGTCTTTCCCCCTGGCTCTCCATGTCACCCCCACCCCAATCCTGGTCTTCAGCCCCTCTCTCCCCACTGTCTCTCCCACCAGCACTAAACTGGCCCCAGCCTCTCTCATCCTATGCCTCCTTTTTAACCCCCAGCCCCACATTCACTGCTAGAATCCTTTTTGAGTTGTTTAATGTACAGAGATTCCTAAAAGATCCTCTCCATTCCCCGCCTTGTTGATGGCCTGTTATCCAGCCTCTGAAACTGCTCTCCCAAGGTCAACAACAGTCCCTTCGCTGATTAAACCCCCAGACGCCTCTCAGGCCTTATCTTCACTTCTGTGCAGCTTTGAGCGCTGGAGACCTTCCTCTTGATAGCCACCTTCCTGTCCCTGATCGTGGACATGGTGCGTGCCCTTTTCTTGCTGCCAGGGCCGGTTTCCTGCCCCGTCACAGCTCGTCCTAGAGGGAGGGAGGAGCTTCCTTTCCCATGCCTCCTATTTTGGCCACTCCAACATCTGCCTCCACCCAGGATCCCCATCAGAGCTCTGGCCCTTCCACCCATCTCCACCTGGATGACTTCTAAGCACCTGGCTCTCCCTAGTCTATTTGTGTGTGTGGAACTACCATCCATCCCGGTATCCGAGCCTGAACCCCTGTCTTGATGCCTCTCGTTTTGATGTTTTTTATTCCATATCCCGTCGATTCTACCTTCTTAACATCTCTGGGGTGTGTCCACTTTGAGTCTCTTGCCTATGCTGTGCATCCCCGGGTACTGATCTTGCTCCCTTACGGCCCGTCCCCTGCAGACAAGAGGTGGTTTTGCTAGAATACGAATGCGATTGTCACTCCATAGGTCCCAGTGCCTCGCTGTGGCAGCTGGGCTTCTTTGGGACCAGACCTGGCTTCCTTCCCCTTCTTCCCTCCTACCCCAAGGCACTCTTTGACTCGGCCATCCTAAATGCTTTGTGCTCTCCCGAGAGGCTGCGCTGTTTTTCTCCTTTACACAGGCTGCTCCCAGTCTCTTGTTGCTTGGCTAGCCCCTACTTATAGAGGACTTGGCCTACACTCCTTCCAGAAAGCTCTCCATGAGTCTCTGGGTTGGGCTAGATAGCCCTTATCAACCTGGAACTTCCCCTGGCATCGTAGCTGCCTGTTAAACTTGTTGCTTTTGCTATGCTGTTAGCTCTGAAAGGGCAGAAATGTGGCTACTGGCTTCATAGCTTGATTCTCAGCGCTAGATCATGCTTGGAATAGAATGTGTGCTCAAAGGATGGTCAAAGAATGTTCCCTGAAGGTCGCAGTTTTGAAATACATGTAAGACCCAGACCAGGTTCACATGTAGCCATGGAAAAATACAGAAGGTTAAAATACTGGCCTGTTAAAGAGTTTATTAGGGAGGAAAACGATAGCCCCCAGCTCCACCCAAAGGTAGCCTCTCAAATCCATGGCTACCATGCCGATGTGGGGGGGGAGTGCGCAAGTATTTATTGTGCTTCTTGGACTCTCCAGGCAATGAAAGTGCGGTGAGGGTCAAGGGCAGGGATCTGAGCTCCTGAGCACAAAAAGCCACTTCAGGTCGGCCTTACCTTCATGTTGTCAGGGGGGTCTCCTTGGCCTGTGGTTGCACAAACAAATATCACCAGGGGCTCATTAATCAGATTCACCTCAACAAAAAGACACATGTGTAAGACCTCAAGCTGTAATGAGCAGGCGTCCTCCCCACAGCCTGGCCCCTCTCCTTCGCTCAGGGTGATAGGGTAAAGGGGAAAAGGGAGCACCCGCGAGCGGCTGGCCTGTCTTCTCTCTTGCCGGCTCCACCTCGCCCTCTCCTCCGCATGCTAAGGTGAGCAGCTGTTCCCAACTTTCCCGTCCCCTACATCCGCCGTAATGGAAGGGCCCGTTCTCAGACATAACGCGGCATCCCGGGGTCGAGGGCTCTGGGGGCCGGCTCCCCGGGCGGCTCGGTCTCTCCGCCGAGGTCAGGGAGCCCTCACCACGGGGTAGGAATCCAGGGCCTGCACGCGGCAGCCGAGGCGCCGGCGCCGGGCCTCGCGGCCCAGC